AGCCATATGTTGTCAGGGCCAAGAGAGGGCTTTCCGAAAGGAAGGAAACCTGAGCCTGGGGCAGCTGACTACAGACCAGAGGCTCTTTGGCTTGTTTCTGCATCACTCCCATTTAGGAAAAAAAATTCCACCCGCTGGTCTTCGGGGCTACATCGCGGGCGTTTCTGTACATGACACATACAGTGTGTCACAGATAGGAGATGAAAAAGGGGACCAGCGCCGTAGCAAGGCCATCCTTTATCAGAGGGCACAGAAGGACTGAACAAAACCCTCCGTGTTTTCCTGTCCGAAGGTGTCCTCATTGCAGGAGCTCCTCACCTTCTCTCTCTCTCATCGACCCTCTCGCTCACCTTAGGACCTGAGGCTTGTGCCTCCATCAGGTAGAGTGGGCTTAGCTCTGAAAGCTTTGTTCTTGTGCGGCAGAAGGCAAGGGCCCGCTCCACCTTTCCATGTTTCCCAGCACAAACGTGCCATGGCTCTCCTCCCTTTTATGCAGATTGCGACGTGCAGACCCATGCATGGCCTCCCATCTTTCAGCGCTCCCTGTCTGCAGGTTCTGTTCCCTCCCCTGCTCTCTTCTGCCAGACCGGCCCCAGCCCACCTCTTCCTCCTGCGGCGGTGGGCTTGCCACTGCTGTGCCCTCACCGGCCTCTCCCTGCCCTCCTGGCCTCGAGCTACTCCCTTCCTGCAGATGGAGCAGAGGCGCATCTTGTCTGAGGCTACCTGGGCTTGTGAGCAAGCTCTGGATGGCAGACGCTGCCACCTTGGTACAGGAGCTGAGGGGCGGGAGCCAGGGGGCCCGAGGGGGCCTAGAGAAGCTGTGTCCTAGCAAGCAAGGGGAGCCGGGAACCTTCTGGGGAGCCCAGGGAATAACCCTGCCTTCCCTGGATGGGGTGGGGTGGGGCCTAATGATGGTAAGGGCCTTGCCTCACAACGTATTCTTTCTTTTTAGGATTCCCATCAAGTGGCATCACTTTAAATAGCAAAATACCAAGTCTTCAGAGAAAGGTCTATCTTCTCACCCCCCGTCCCCCGCCGTGTGTGTGTGTGTGTGTGTGTGTGTGCGCGTGTGTGTGTGTGTGTGTGACAGCAACTCTAGGCCCATGCAGTCATACTGTCCAGGAGTGATGCTATTTGTTTAGGCCGTGTGTGTGCAGGCACTGAAGATGTGTCTACACACGTGGTTACTCCACATGAGGCCAAAGAAAGCCTTTCAGGGCAATGCTCTTGGAAGTACAGAGGGCGTTTACGAGTGAGTGTCTGCGGCGTATGGGCGGCTGCCAGGAGATGGAAGGAACATGCCCACCGTGTGCTCCCAACCGCAAGGATGACAGGGCCACCTGGCTCGGGGATCTCAGGACAACAGCCTGCTGGTGGCCATGCCAGCCAAGTACATGTAGCTGCGGTGTGTCGCTGGCCTGCTCAGACACATGGCCTTCTGATGCCTTTGTTTGAAAAGGGCCGTGCCATTTAAATTAGCACAGCCGACCAAAACAGGGTTCCTTCCCAGTCACAGGCCCTAGTGCTCTATTGACTTTGGGTGTTCTGCATCTTCGTCCTGTTCCCCATCGAAGTAATAGAGACGGAAGTATGAGGTTTCGCCACTGCCTGTGCGTGCACATCTCGCTCTCTAAAAGTGCATGCGACAGCAAGAATATATGAGTGCTTTCTGCAAAACTCACAATCTGGTTATCATGACTGGGGTTTAGACTTCAAGTCTAACAGAGGCATGCCCTGGAGGTATTGCGGGTTTGACTCCAGACCACCACCATCAAGTGGGTCAACTGACTTTTTTTTTTAGGTTTTCCAGTGAATAAAAGTTAGACAAGAGTATAGTGAAAACCTATTAGGTTGGCAATAGCATTATGTCTAAAGAGACCATGTACATGCAGGGTCTGAGTCATGTGGAGAAAGGACAAATCCGCCCCTCCCATCCCAGCAAATCGAGGAGCGGGGCTCTGAACAAAACGACAAGGCTCAGCGCTGTCTGATCAGGAGCAAACATGGACCAAATTCGGCACCACAATGATGGGTGTCTCTTCATAATGTGGGGGAGGAAAGCCCGGTGACCTGAGGTCTCCTGGGTGGTAGGTCGCTGCGAATTTTGTCAGTAGTTTTCAGTTCAGTCTAACTTCTCCAAAATCATACAATAGATTGAGCCTCAGTCTGCATTATTTTATCTGCACTAATCCTATACTCATTAGTTTTCTAAAGTATTTTCCTTCAACGCTATCAAGGCCTATGAAGTAGCCAACATCTTCACTCTCCCCTCACAAGTCTCTTCTACTTTTAGGGGAAAGTAACGCAAACTACATTTTCCTGCCCCGGAACCACAGAAAACTAAAAATCACTTGTAAAGTGACTGAGTCATGGCTGACTATATTCTCCCAACTTCACTTTTTTTAGATGTAACACTTTCAAAGTTATTTATACTATACAAATAACCTTCTCATAAACCACTGTGGGTGTGAAATGTAAAACAAGCTAAATTTGATAACCCCAAAGGGTTGGGGTTACGCTATGGGATTCTTTTCCTCCCAATTACCATTCATTACATTGCTGGCAGCAAGGAAGGCCAGAAGTAGGAAAGCATTTCAAGAGCTCTCCCGTGTAGGTACTGGGCTTAGATTTCACTCAGATTTCACTCTGCTGCCGAGCAATCCATCCATCTTACCCTGCTGTAAGACAATACTTTCAAATCCACTTATCAATGTCAGGCCACACTTTAGTATCAAAGCAAGCCAGGATGAAACGATCAGATTTACAGACTTCATAGAAAAGGTTTGTTGCTCACTGTGGTTAGATAAGTGCCCTGATGCACAAACGGGGAAGACTTTTTTATTTTAATGTCCCTGTGCATCAGTGTTCTTATTCAGATGTCTTCATGAGTGCCATGGGTTATGCTAACCACATCCTCCTCACTATTACCCTTCAGAGGAAACTAGCCACTTGCTTTGAGATATATCTGCACCTCCAGTAGTTTAAAAGTTTATCAAAATTCATTTGTCTTTGGGAATAAACTTTCACACACTGCCGGCAGGCTCGGGTGGCCTCACCAGGTGCAGGGGTGAGCACAGGTTATGGATTCCACGTAGCGAAGCTACCAGGAGGTCTGACAGGTTGCAGGTTGACTGTCCTACAGACTGACTTCGGGAACGTCTGCACAGGTGTCCAGCACGAGTGACGTGTGTGTCCGTGTTTGAACCGACGCACGAAGCAGAGCAGTTGTGTTCACTTACTTGTTCCTGGAGGACTTTAAGTAACGCTTGTGTGTGTGACTGCTCTTCCTTTGCTTGTTCCAGTTCTGACTTCTTGTTGTTTAACTCCTCCTGGATGGTCAGCAATTGCTGTGAAATAAGAATATTTACAGTAAATATGAGTGATGGCCAGGCGATTGCAAGATATTAAAAATATCTATTCAAAAACATAAGATTTTTTATAGGTCTTAAAGGCTTCATCCAGACTTCAGCTAACTTTTTCGCTTTTAAAGTTTATTTATTTTGAGAGGGAGAGGGAGAGGGAGAGGGAGAGAGAGAGAGGGAGGGAGAGAGAGAGAGAGCAAGCCAGCATGGGAGGGCCAGAGATAAAGGGAGAGAGAGAGAATCCCAAGCAGGCTCTGCACTGTCAGAGCAGAGCCCAACATGGGCTCAAACTCACAAACTCGGAGATCAGGACATGAGCCCAAACCAAGAGTCAGAGCTTAAGCGACTGAGCTACCCAGGCACTCCCTTCAGTTAACTTTTGTGTGACCACCCCCCCTCCACCATTTAGTGTAATGAGAATTGCAGGTTTTGACACTTTAGGCTGTTTGTGATATTGCTGCACGATAAAACAAATCTGTTCTAGGTATTTGTAAAGGCACCATCATATTCCTTTGAACAAACATGTATTTGTCAAAATGTAGAGAACAGTGTTAATAGACAACATGCTTTGATAGATGAAGAAATTAATAAAAAATCTTGATATAATTCATCTAATGGTCCACCGTTACTTCATTTTACAGAAGACAGGAAAACAGGCTTCACAGTGGCTCCATGGAGCCTCTACTTCACCAAGTGGTTGGGGCCACAAAAGATCCTTTTACTTTCTCTGTGATGACGGTGATGTTTTATTAGATCAGCAGGACCGAAGTCCAAACTGCAATCAATATATCAGCCGAGAAAACTGCTGATATAAGCTGTCAAAACACTAAGCTATGGCCTACACTGCTATTTTTAAGCAGGGCCACTGAAGGGAGTTTTGTAAGCCTTGCCTTGAGCCTTCCTTGCCCTGTCAACTGTAACTCATGCTGAGGCTTACCTTGTCTGCCAAAAGCGCGGTGCGGCCCGGCACTAATTCTTTGGAACAGGGTTGTATGTGACTATAGACTTGGGCTGCGAAATGCATTCAAGAGCTTCAAAACAGGCCGTAGAAATAGCTGTGTCTACTTAAAGCTTCCTAACAACAAAGGACTAGTTTGAAAAGACAGAAGAGCATTTCTTCTGCTACCGAACATAACAAATGCCACACTAATGATCAAAAATGTTAGTGCATTCCTGCCACGAAGGTAGCTGTCTCCAATGTCAAGGCTGCTTCTTTGGGGCTTTGACAAGCTGGCTGGGAGGCTGCCTGGCCCGCTCTTAACTATCAAGGCCTGAATAAACACTGGCAGTGGATTTCTGATGCTTAAACCCACCAACTGGAAGGATTAAATTAAACCTTTAAAACCTAGTTTTGGGGTATGTTGGGGGGTGGGAAGCTCTCAGAAAAACACACTATGCTTTCTCTTGGGCTGGCTTGCTCTGTTCCCTTCTCAGGCACTGGATGTAAATTTAGGAACCGGCTTTGGTGCCCCCTAGCATAAGCGGCGATTTCCTTACAGTATTCTAACAACCCTGTTTCATCACCTGCCTGCATCATAATCACATGGGAGGTAGTACACACATCCCACACTGGCTCCCTTCGCACCCTGTGTGATGTAACTGTGCATCACCTGATTGAAGAACAGAAACCAGGGAGCCCACATTGTACCTTGGCATCATGACAAGTACCTAAAATGACTGCTTCCAAACATTGGGGAGTGACTGTTCCTTCACGGTCATTCGCTATGGGCCCCAGAACAGCTCCCGGGGGACCTGGTGTTAGATGATGCCCAGTGAATTTTTACGTATTAGACAAGCTTCAGATCCGATCCTTGAACCTCCTTTAAAATTGAGCCAAAGGAAGGACAGGAAATTGCCTTCAAGAGTAGATAGCTCATGTTTGTTCACTGCCACAGTGAGTTTGTTCACTTGAGGCAGCAACATTTAGAAATAACTCATGTTCAGGGCAAGGGTTAGTGATGGTGCATCTGTTCTAGGGAAACCATGCAGCGGTGGAAAATGAAGTTGCACAAAGTCCCTGGACAACACGGAAGCAGCTCACAATACACTGTTCTCCCAACAGAGACCTCAGCTCACCCACAGGTTTCAGTAAGTTTTGCAACATGTTCATGTTCATAGAGAAGGATCTGGAGACTTCGGGTGAGTGGGTTTAAGGATCTTTAGGTCGGTTTTGATCCACATGTCTACAACCCTTCTTTATTCTATTCTCTCTCTCTCTCTCTCACACACACACACACACACACACACACACACACACACCTTCCCTTGACCTCATTTTCCACTTAAGCTTCCATCTTATTCCATTCCTCTTTGGAATCACACTTTTTATTACTTTATTTTATCTTATCTATTTTATTTTTAAAAAGTTTTATTATTGGGGTGCCCAGGTGGCTGGCTCAATCAGTTGAGCATTGGACTCTTGATTTAGGCTCAGGTCATAATCCCTGGGTCATGGGATTGAGTTGGGCTCTGCCCTCAGCATGGAGCCTATTTAAGATTCTCTCTCTGTCTCTCTGCCTTCTGTCTGTCTCTCTCCCTCCCTCCATCTGCCCTTTCCCTGCTCACATGCACTCATTCTCTAAAATAAATAATAAAAATAAATAAAAATAAAAATCTTTAATTATAAGTATAGTTGACATATAATGGTATATTAGTTTTAAGTATACAACATAGCGACCTGACAAATGTATGCATTGCTCAGTGCTGACCACAGGAAGTGTGGTCACTATCACCACACAATTACTACACCATTATTGACTATATTCTCTATGCTGTACTTTTCATCTCTGTAGACTCACACTTTTAAAAAGAAAATGCCTTCTCTCTCATCCCCCTTTCCTTTCATATGAAGGCAATCACTTTCGATGCTTTCTCTCTTTATTTGAATGTGTTGTTCTAAAATAAACATCATTGTTTTTTGAGTAGGCATTTTTATGCGATATTGCCGTATTTCTTGTTATTTATGTTTTTACTGAGGATTATTTTTTAAAGATCCATTCGTGTGAATATGTGTAGATCTAATCTGTTGCTCCTGATGGCTGTATAACAATCTACAAGGTACATCCACCCAATTATACCTAATCTACTCTCCCAGAGAAAGGCACCCAGAGGATCTCTAGTTCTCCTCACTCTGTACAAGGCTGCATGTGAGTGCAGGGGACCTTACGGGCTTGCGGCAGAATTCCCTGGCACGCACACCCAGCAGGGGAACCCCGCTTCCCAGGGCGTGCCTCAGATGTCAACTCGCCAAAGCTGCTGGGCTGAATGTGTGTCCCAGTCCGCCCACCCACAGTCATGCTAACATTTAGCATCATCCACCCAGCTTTCTACTGTTTGTCAGACAATTCTAATCGTTGTCTAATCATATAAAGATTATTCATTAGAAAATGTTTGGGTACTTTCTCTAAACTCCTTGTGATTTTAAATGTCTCATCAGATGCTCACTAGCTGCTGAACTTTTCATTTATACTTCAAGGGTAGTGGGTCTTAATATGGGTAACTTTTCAAAACAAGACTGATTCCTGGGCCCTCAGGAAGACCAATTAACTCAGAATATCTAGGCAGTGATATTTAAAAAACAAACAAACAAAAAACAAGTGCCCGAACAGATAATTCTAATGTGTAAATGTGATAAAAGCCACGGTTTCCTTTAATGCTCATTTAAAGCTCATTTCACTCCACTGTGACTCCCGCCTACAGCACCCACTCAAACTCTCCTCACTGAAGTCATCGGAGCCTTTCCACTTGCCGACTAGCATGTGAGCTTCCTTTCTTCTTGCTCCGTGCCTTCTCCGGGTGCTCTGTTCGCCCCCATGGCCTCAACTCCACATACAAGGGTGGCTTCACAGCCTCTGCCTCATCCCTAAAACCCTCAACCCCCCCCCCCCCCCCCCCCCCCCACCCGCCAACATCTTTTCATCACCCTGGTACCCTCCCCACCCAGTCCTCTGCCTTTTCTCCCTTGCATCCGCACTGTCATAGTTAAGGCAGCCCCTCTCCTCTCCTCTGGATCTGCTTGTCCCCCGTCATTCATCCTATACTCCTTACAGAAATGACCATCTAAAAATGAGAACTAGAAGAGTAATACTAAAACTTGTATGGAACCACAAGAGACCTCAAAAATCCATAGCTATCTTGAGAAAGAAGAACAAAGCTGGAGGTATTACAATCCTAGATTTCAAGATATATTACGAAGCCATAGTAACCAAAACAGAATGGTACTGGCACAAAAGAATAGACAAACAGATCAATGGAACAGAACAGAGAGCCCAGAAATAAACCCGTGCATATATGGTCAGTTAATCTACAACAAAGGAGGCAAGAATATGCAATGGGAAAAGACAGTCTTTTCAATAAATCGTGTTGGGAACCCTGGACAGCTACGTGCAAAAGAATGAAACTGGACCACTTTCTTACACCATGCACAAAAATAAACCCAAAATGAACTAAAGACCTAAATGTGAGACTCAAAACCATAAAACTCCTAGAAGAAAAGGTAGGCAGTAATTTCTGTGACATCAGCCATAGCAACATTTTGCTAGATAGGTTTCCTAAGGCAAGACAAACAAAAGCAAAAATAAACTATTGGGACTAAACCAAAATAAAAAACTTCTGTACAGTGAAGAAGACCATCAACAAAATAAAGAAGCAATCTACTGAACGGGAGAAGATGTCTGCAAATAACATATCTGATAAAGGGTTAATATCCTAAGTATATAAAGAACTTGTACAATTTAACACCAAAAAATGCTGTGTGCCTGAAACTAATGTAACATTGTGTGTCAACTATACTTCAATAATAATAATTAAAAAATACTTTTGGTTCCCCAGACTCTACTGGATAAAATCCAAACCCCTGATCTCATCCTTTCCTGGATGTGTGAGGTCCTTTCATGACTCTTGTGACAAGATCATTACCCAGAATTCTTCCTGACAGGCTCCTATTCATATTTAGGCCAACTTAAAGAATGCTTTTCAATGAGCACCACCCATATGAGGGCTTTATACAATAGCAAACAGCCCCATCCAATAGGAAGACATGAACTCCTCCCTAGGGCACATAGTTTGGCAGTGAAGTGGGGGCTCGATTAAATTCCCACTTGCCCATTTGGCCTGGTGCCTTTGTCCAAGGCAGAAGCTACACGACCATATGTAGTATCCTTGGGTTCTTCTGCAGTAAAGACTTCCTTCAATCACCCAAGCAAAGTTAATTGTCCTAACTTCTACACTCCCCAAGCATTTACTATGAAAGATTACCTTTCATAGGTATCTCCGCAATGAGACTGTATCTACCAATGGCAGGATCATTAGGTCATCCCTAACACAGTATAGGTGCTGAATGAGTGGGGAGTACAGAAATGAATGAATAAGCTTACTACTTCTATGGGATTAAACCAGGATCTAACAAAACAAAAGAAAACAAAACAAAAACAGCACACACATAGACAAAACCCAAAACAACCACAATAATAAAAGCTACCTGAGGATCTATCACTGGGTGATTTATCGCTCTAGACATATGGAGACATAGGGATATATGAAACTTTCAGAGGAAAACAGCAGCTCATTTACGACATTTTGATTCATTCCTCTGGCAGTTCCAGAAAGCCTTCTGAATATAACAGGGACTATTTCTTGAAAGGCTAAGGAAATCTACTCAATGAACATATAATTTTATAACTTCTTCCCCATGTTCCACCAAAAACAGAACACAACCACCACCGGAGGAAAAATACAATCAACACCCCTCAGCTGTTTTCTGAATTCTTCAAGATTAATGTTTTCTTTTGTTTACAAAGCATAAACTCATGAACCTAATATTTAGGTATTCAGAGCAGTGCTGAGTCACAATCGTTATCCTTCATTTGACTAGATGTCCTATAAAAACAATGAGATAGTCCACAACTAGATAATTTAAGTCAGTCTTTCTGGTTCTTTTTCACTTGAAATTTATGGGGCTGTATCATATTCTTTCTAGTTGGGATGTTTAAGTACTAACGTGCCTCAATTACAGAGGTTCACAGGCAGCTAGAACTTAATCAGAAGAGTCTCTCGGTTGGATTGGCTGACTGCAGCATAATTTTAATTTAACATCGGAGAGTATGACATTAAGCAGATGCACTATTACAATTTTTGGTGGTTACAACTGAGTGTGTTCCAATTAGACAATTATCCATATGCCAATCAAGTGCAAATACTCTGGCAGACAATAACAGGTAAATAAATGCCGTACCTGACACATCTTGGTATTTCCAGGCCACTGATTTAATAGGATCATTTGTAATGCTGTTTGGGGATGCAGACTTCAGTGTGTAATGGGTCTTTCTCTCTGACAAATTCAAAGAGCATTACAAATGTTATTTGGAGCCCCAGAATAAGTGAGGTCACATTTCCATTTTTACAGATGGGCGAGTCACAGGCGCACAAAGGTTAAGTCGTGTATCCAGGGCCACACTGTCTGGGAGAGACCTACCACTGGTATATCTCAATTTTCCTGCTTTAAACCATGGTTCCAACCCTGGCAACCACACTGCACTGTCACTTTAAAATGGAAATCAGGACACACCCAACTTGAAATCCCCCCAGCAACGACCTCTGCCTAGACCTTCGCCATTTCCACTTTACAGCAAGCCTTGTGGCAAACGTGCTTTTGTGGATACCTCTGTGACCGCTGCAGTGGATTGAACTTTGCATTAAACACTATAACTCCTTTATTGTCCCTTTGCCTTAAATTTTATAATTTTGCTGCCAAGGTAAAGTTTTGGTATGGCTAACAGATTATCTAAGGTTAGATTCATGCATAAAAGTCTGGAAATTTTTGAACCCATAGAGGGTCATCAATTTAAATTTAAATGTGTTTTTGCTCCTTTGATTCAGTTTTAATAAGTGTTATTCCCTCTCCATAACTTTGCTATAAATTAGATGCCCTACCCAGGGGGATATGCTTTCGAAGCCAGTAAAATATCGCCCAAGTACATGAAGTCCAGGGACTTCCAAAGGCCATGGTAGAAGTGACTCTGACTGAACGGACCAATCGCAGCTGTCGGTTTAGTATCCAGGCTACGCAGCAACGCCTGAGAGCATACAGC